TATATATATATATATATATATATATATATATATATATATATATATATATATATATATATATATATATATATACATACAAACACGTATATTTGGCGATAATGCCAACGTCATCGTACGCGATATTACGCAATTTACATTATTACAATTTGTCTCGTTCCATCGTGCCCCTGCGATACAGTAAAGAACAATTTTTCCGTTTGTCATGAATCCGTTTACGTCGCTGACGCGGACACTATATACATAATGTACAATTACGTGAAGAAGAGTATCTATATCGCGAATATAAGGTCTCGGTGAACACGTGAGTGAAAAGAAAAGCGAAAAAAAAACAGAAACAATCGCAATGCGCGAGTAACGTTGTGTTTCACGCAAAACCTGTTTACATCAAACACTGACTGACTGACTACTGAGCTCTCTGCCGATAATAATCGTCTTCTATTTTATAAAACGGAAAAGAAAGCGAAGCAGTACGTTCCACTGGACCTCTCGGCTACGTCGCGCAAGTCGACGAAGAGTTCGACTCGTGCTTCCCACAGAATGTTCTGTTTCGCTTCGCCTGCCAATTTAAGGTCGTTTCGCGAGGAAAAAAAACAAAAAGGAAATATGTAGAAAAGTGAAAAAAAAACGTTTTCTCGAGCGATCGAACTGCGGAGAGATGCGTGCGTACGTGGAAAACCATTATATTGGTATACGAGCGTTTTATCATTCGTACTGCGATACTTTTCTTCCGGATAAAGGAAGAAAATATTCTCGCGAAAAATACATAGCGTTATGGTCTATTTTAACACCATGCATTTCCTTTTTCTTTGTTTTTTCTTTATTTTTTATTTATTTTACTTTTGATCACACTTATCAACTAGCGATGTCTTTATTTAATTGTGCGGATATTTAAAAAACGCACGACATGTACACGGTGTGCAAACATTTAATTTATTAAATTCGGCGCGTCTCACGGAGTCTGTTTGTGCTAATTTCCATTTGTATTCGCGGACGCTACTCGGGCAACATCCGAAGCAGGATTGGTTCGCTACGAAAGACGATCCCCGTCCGCAAATCTGCCGGGCGGAGCAGACTCGCGGAAGTTGTTGCGTTTGCGATCAGCAAACCGAAGAAGCGGCTGGCCGGGATATCCTGGAGTTCGCTGAATGATATGGGGAGACAAGCAATACGACTATTCGTACGATACGCGAGAAATTCGACGAAAAAGTGCCTCTTCTACCCGCGCTACGATTAGTGTATCGGGCACAGAACAGAGATGCGTTTGTATGCGACTTGATTCCGGCAATGTGGATGCCGATGCATTTTAGTTTGTAACGATTACTCCACCCTACGTTTGTCCCTTGCGATTGTGCGTGGCTCTTTCGTGAATCTCTGATGTTGTCTCCGACGACGGCAATCGTGACGAGTCTGTACAGTACATAGCTAGAGAGTCTTAGCGGATAATATACGATGTCGCTTCACGAAATACGGCCAGTGAAATCCGTTGCTACGGGAGAGAAAAAGAGAGAGAAAGAGAGAGAGGCAACGATCACCACTCGATTCGACAGCCCGTTAGTATTTCTCGTTATTTGTAATAGAAAAGGCGCTGCTGATCAAATCAACCAACATCGAGCCTTTGCTCGGCCAATCTCGCTTGATCCTCCAGCTCGTAACGTCGCTTATAAAATCAATTAGGGAGAAATTCACATAGTCTCTCGGCAAACTAGAGAAACTCACAAATCCCGTGAATCTGCTCGTGTCGTTAAGGATCGAACGGTTAAGAGTAAGAATCGAGACCGGCACAATTGTCTCGGTGAGCTCATTTATCGATGCTGTGGGCGCGTAAGAAAGAGAAAGAGAATCCTGTAACTATAAATAGAATAGCCAAATTAATATTTAGCAATTGAGAAATTAAGTGAAAGGTACAACCGATATCACACCACACGATTTGTCTCAGCACCGTCTCTCCACAAGCGCTTACAAATCGGAAACCCAGAATGGATATACGTTAAGTGTCATAGATAACAATAGAGATCATTCTCGCGTGTTTACAGTATCGAAATGCGTCGCTATGCTTGCATTAATTAAGGACTTACAGAGAGATATCGGCCGAAACGCGCCAGCGAGAAGAAAAGCGCGACGCGACCGCGTTTCGACCGATATACGTGTTTAATTATTACAGGAGCGATCGTTAACGCGGGTCAGATTCGTTTGTTAGAGTGAATGACTTTGTTGGACGACGAGCGAGCTTAGGCATCGAGATCGTGCCGTTAAATATATATCGAAGCTCAATATATACCGTGTCGGCGCGTCTGCGGATTTCAACGACCGTGCGACTCCGTCGTCGCGATCGTCTAGAGATCGTTCATACTGTGACCATATAGATAACGATATATCTCGTATATATATATATATATATATATATATATATATATATATATATATATATATATATAT